TGTATATATATATGTGTGTGTGTGTGTGTGTGTGTATATATACATATAAACATATTGAAGGTTTGTTTCAATTTGGCATTGAGTAAGTCTATCAACATAATTTTTCCCACAACATGTGCTCACTTCATGTCTCTATTACATTTTGGTAGTTTTCACAATATTTCTAATGTCCTCATTATTATTGTATCTACTATGGTGGTCTGTGATTAGTAATCTTTGATGTTACTGTTGTAATTATTTTGGGGCACCACAAACTGTGCCCATATAAAATGGCAATCTAAATTAATGAATGTTGTGTATTCTGACTTCTCCACCAACAAGCTGTTTCCCTAACTCTCTTTCTCTCCTTGGGCCTCCTGTTCCCTAAAACATGCAAATACTGAAATTGGGCTAATTAATAACCTTACAATGGCTTCTAAGTGTTCAAGTGAAAAGAAGAATTACAAGGCTCTAATTTTCAATCAAAAGCCTGAAATTATTAAGCTTATTGGGGAAGACATGTCAAAAGCCAAGACATGCCAAAAGCTTGGCCTCTGGCACCAGTTAGCCAAGTTGTAAATGCAAAGGAAAGTTCATGAAGAAAATTATAAGTACTACGGCAGCAAATACACACGTGAAAGAAAGCAAAGTAGCCTTATTGCTGATATGGAGAAAGCTTTAGATACTTAGATAGAAGGTCAAATCAGTCACAACATTCCTTTAAGCCAAAGCATAATCCAGGGCAAGGCCCCAACTCTATTTAAACCTGTAAAGACCAAATGAGGAGGAAGCTGCAGGAAAGTGTGAAGCTAGTAGAGATTAGTTCATGAGGTTTAAGGAAAGAAGCCATCTTCATAAAAAATTGCAAGGTAATCTGTAGCAAGCTCTTCAGAAGATGTAGCTAAGATCATTGAGGAAAGTCGCTACATTAAATAATCAATTTTCAAAGTAAACCAAAAAAGCTTTATATTAGAATAATATGCCATCCAAAATTTTAATAGCTAAAGAGGAAAAGTCAATGCTTGGCTTCAAAATTTCAAAGGACAGGTTGACTCTCTTGTTAGGGTCTAATGCAGCTGGTGATTTTAAGTTGAAGCCAATGCTAACTTACCATTCTGAATATCATATGGCCCTACAGAACGTACTAAATATACTCTGCCTGTGCTCTATAAAGGGAAGAAGAGAGCCTGAATAACTGCAATTCTCTTTATAGCATGGTTTACTGAATATTTTTAGCCCATATTTGAGATCTACTGCTCAGAAAATAAGAGTTCTAATGGAGATATACAGAATATTAATGTTTTCATATCTGATAATACAACATTGACTCTGAAGACCATGGCTCAAGGAGTAATTCTGATTTTCAAGTCATCTTATTAAGGAATACATTTTGTAAGGTTTTAGCTGCCTTAGATAATAATTCCTCTAATGGATCTGGGCAATGTAACTTGAAAACTTTCTAGAAAGGGTTCACCATTCTAGATAGCATTGAGAAAATTAATGTTTTATGGGAAAAGGTCAAAATATAAGTATTAACAGGTCTGAAAGGAGTTGATTGCAACCCTAATGAATGACTTTGAGGGGTTCAAGACTTCGCTGGACAAAGTCAATACAGATGCAGTTAGAAAAGCAAGAGCACTAGAATTGAAATGAAGTCTAAAGATGTTATTCAATTGCTTCATCCTCATGATAAACTTTCAACATATGAAGAATTGCTTCTTAGGAATGAGAAAATAAAGTAATTTCTTGAAATTGAACCTACTCTTGGTGAAGATACTATGAATAGTGTTGAAATGACAACAAAGAATTTACAATGTTACATAAATTTAGTTGATAAAGCAGTGGCAGGATTTGAGATGAATGACTCCACTTTTGAAATCAGTTCTACTGTGGTTAAAATGCTATCAAATAGCATCACATATGACACAGACAGCTTTCATGAAAGGAAGAGTCCATCAATGCAACAAATTTCATTGCTGTCTTATTTTAAGAAATTGCCACAACCACCTTAACCTTCAGCAACTACCACCCTAATTAGTTAGCAACCATTGTCATTAACGCAACACCCACTACCAGCAAAAAGACAACAATTTGCAGAAGGCTCAGATGATCATAGGCATTTTTTAGCAATAAAGTGTCTTAAAATGGTAGTTTTTTTTTTTTTAAGATACTACGTTATTGTATACCAAATAGACTATATAGTTTAACCATAAGTTTCATATGCCTTGGGAAACCAAAACATTAGCATAACTTGCTTTATTGTATTTGCTTTATTGCAATAGTCTGAAACTGATTTCTCCATAACTCTGAGGTATGCCTCTTGGTTGGTTCATTTGGTGGTTTGTAAGTTTATGTATTTCAAATCCTTTTACATAAAATTAATCTCATTGTTTCTCTATTTTATTCATAAAAACAACATGTGAAAACAAAATCTGCTGCAAACGGTTGGACCCCTTGATTTTAGTATCAGGTGAAAATGTACAGCATTTTGTTTCAGATCCTTTCAGAGTCGGGGGAATGGACTGCTCACTGCAGGACTTACAATGATGAAGAATCCCATCCCAGATGGCATGTAAGGAATCAACAGCGTCTGGTGCTAGGTAGCAGCAATATTGTTAAACATTTTCTAATAGTGGTATTCTTGTCAAACTCTTTCAAATAATTTAAGATAAAAACATTCTTCCTAACTCATTCTATGAGTATAGCATTATCTTAATACCAAACCAAGACAAGGAAACAACAATAAAAGAGACAACTACAGGCCAATATTGCTGATAAACAAAGATTCAAATATTCTTGACAAAATAATAGAAAGCTAATTACAACCACATATCAAAAAATAATACACCACAATCAAGTGGGATTTATCTCAGAGATGAAGGATAGTTCAACATGTATAAATCAATTAAGTGGATATCACCTCAACAAAATGAAAGTTTAAAATATCACCTCAAAAGATACAGAAAGCAGCATTTGATAACTTTCAACATCCTATCATGATCAAAAATCTGTCAACAAATTAGGTATAGAAGGAATATACCTCAACACAATAAACACATATATTCTATATATATGTCAAACCCATAGCTAACATTATACCAACTATAAACTTACTTCTTAGGATTACTTTTGCCGAATCCTATGAGATTTAGTATGTTCTGTTTTCATTTTCATTTGTCTCAAGTTTCTTTAATTTCCCTTCTAATGTCTTCACTGCATCACTTGTTCAGGAATATGTTAATTTCCATGTATTTAAAAATGTTAAATGTTCTTCATGTTATTGTTTTCTATATTCCATTGTGGTCAGAAAAGACACTTGATATTATTTAAATCTTCTTAAGTTTGTTAAGACTCATTTTCTGGCCTAACATGATCTATCTTGGAGGCTACTCCATGTACACTTGAGAAGACTATGTATTCTGAATGAATACGTAGCTACTGGATGGAATGTTTTGTATATGTATGTTAGGTCCATTTGGTCTAGAGTACAGTTTAGGTCTAATATTTTCTAATTGATTTTCTATCTGGATAAGGTGTTGATTGCTGAAAGTGAGGTGCTGAAGGCCCCTACTTTAATCGTATTGTAGTCTCTCTCAGATGTATTAATATTCAATTTACATATTTAGGTGTGCAATTGTTTAGTGTATACATATTTACAATTATTATATTCTCTTGCTGAACTGAGGTTTTTGCCATTATAAAACAATCTTCATTTTTTCTGTTTGTTTTTATAGTTTTGACTTAACATCTATTTTATCTGATACAGGTATAGTTACTCCTGCTTTTTGTTTTTGTTTGCAAGAAATTTTCAATCTTTTTATTCAACATATGTATATTCTTAAGACCCATATAGTTGGGATTTTTCATATAATGTACTCAAACATTCTATGTCCTTTGATTGGAGAGCCTAATTTATTTACATTCAAGGCAACTTTTGATAGGTAAGAGCTTACTACTGCCAAAATTGTTTTCTAGCTGTTTCATAGATCATTCATTCCCTTCTTCTCTTGCTGTTTTCCACTCTGGTTATTTTTATTAGTGATATTCCTTGATTCATACTTTTAATTCTTTGTGCATCTACTATAAATTGTTGGTATGTGGTAACTACTAGGCTTACAAAAAAGTTTTTCAAGCTGAGAACAACTTTGATTGCAAATCAAACCAAACCAAACAAGAAGTATACTTTTAATCAACTCCCAATTTTGATTTTTTAAAACTGTCACTATATATATAATAAAATAAAATATATAAAACTCCATCTCTACTAAAAATACAAAAATTAGCTAGGCGAGGTGGCCAGTAATGTAAAACTATCCTTTCTATCCTCTGCAATATGACTTTTCTCATTTCTATGCTTCAGCCAGGTGTTGTAAACCTTCACCTGTTTTTTTTATTTTTTGCACTTGTGAAGGAAGGTATTTTCATTTATGGATAGTGTTTCAAACTGATGTTTTTGTGAAAACACAATTGTTGGATGATCCTATCCTTCCCATGGTTCATTCATGTTTAGTGTAATTATTTATATGGTTAGACTTATATCTATCATTTTATTATTTATTCTCCATTTGTCTTATACAATTT